TGTGTGCGCAGTGTGTGTGCGCAGAGTGTGTGTGTGTGTGTGCGCAGAGTGTGTGTGTCCTGTTGACCTTGACCTAGAAGATCTACAAACTGCACTTCCTCTCACGTCCACCGGGGGCTGGTACAGTGATGCATTATGGGTAGTGGAGCGGTGAACTCCATTCAGAAAACAAACGTTTTAAAGAGTGAAGTCAGAGCGACATGTTTCAGCATCATATTGATCCGTTTATTGATACTGAACTTTAATATCTGATCATTAGGACTCAAACTGATGCAGAGACAGAGAGAGAGAGAGAGAGAGAGAGAGAGACAGAGAGAGAGAGACAGAGACAGAGAGAGACAGAGAGAGAGTTTGTCTACGATCTGTCCTCAGTCTGTAAATGTTTTCTTAATTGTATAATAATAACACTATTTAATAATAATTGTATTGTTTATTGTTGTTTTCTAATTAAAAGTAATGATTGTTTTTTAATATTTATTAAAGTTGTTAAAGCATCAAATCAAAACATTTATATTATTTTGATTTGATTAATTAATTCATCAACATTGGTTCACAATTAGCATCCATTAGTTAATTAACAGGTAATCAATCAACTGTTTGATATTTGATATATATTATTGATTAGACAGGGCGGGAAATTAATCATCAGATGGTTATTGATCAATAATTGGTTATTAGTTTGATGACGCACCATATGAGGTCAGTGATGATGTCAGGTGACCTCTGACCTCCCGTCAACTGAACATCTCATTATTAATCGATTAATGAGTCATAATCAATATCATAACCAATATGATCAATAGCACCCTCAGGCTGCTCTGACACTCCAGTCTTTATTCTAACCGACACCGTCCCGCCGAGCTCCGTTCAGATTCCGCTCATTTTAACCGCCTCAGCTCACCGGGAGCCGCCGGGATCCTTCCCCGGGAGACACACGGTGCTTCGGTTTACATCCAGCCATTGTCTCGCTGTCCGACCCAGGAGCATTAAATACATCAGGAGACATTAAACTGATAGTAAATATGAATATATGGGACAGATTCCCGCATTATAGCCGCGGTTTCTTCCCCCTGCACATCCCGCGGAGGGCGGTTGCTGGCAGCGCATCCATTATTAAAGATCACATTTCGTTGCAATTTGGGGCTGATTGGCGGGAAATCTTATGCCGAAATTATTATGAAACACGTCTGTTACGAAAAATGTCTTCAATCGTTTATTAAAGTGCTTTGTGTCGCTGGTGGATCGCTGCGGAGTTAAACGGTGCAGTCTGTGAGTGGAGCTCCGGGGCTCGGCCGGTGGCAGTGATGAGGAAGCAGCGGAGGGATCTCTCTTCCCTCATCGCCAACTGTCAAAATAAAAGAGCGAACCGCGCAATAAAACGGCGCCAACCGGGTTCGGCGGTGAAACGTTGCGGGATTCGGTTACTCACCGAGCTTTCGGCGGGAGCACAGCGGCGTAAACGTTAATATTTTACCGGTGGAGACGGTCACAATAAACAGGAAGCAGCGGACGTGGACACAAAGCATTGTGGGAAAGGATTAAATGGTTGCAAAGAACGGAAGTACGGCGGATTGTCCTTCAAAATAAAAACAGTAAAATATAACAGAGGGAAAAAAAATCATAAAATATAGTGGAGCAAAATAAATACAAGATAAACAATGAATACAATGAAGCAAAATTAATATAAAATAAAGGAAAAAGAAAGAAAAATCTAAAATATAATACTATAAAAACAATATGAAGCCATAATATAGTAATGATAATAACGGCTGTAAATCCTGCAATAAAAAGAGTTGGTAAAATGTCTGAAATCTTTCTCTCATTGTATTTGGTCAGAAACACGTTGAACTGTAGAATCTGCACAGTAACTGTACACAGTCAGTATCTGAATTTCCCTCGGGATAGATAAAGTATATCATACACAATGTTACAGGGAAGGGCTTTTATTTTGGAAGGAAGAAAGAAGTAGATTTGTCCTGATTGTATTGAGCTTTACAGACTGTCTCTCTGTCTGTCTGTCT